CACAGCAGATTAACAGAGACTGCGGGGGTGCCTCGTGTTCAGAACAAATTTATAGACAAAAAAGGTAAAGTGATGTACAGGAATCAGAAGTGAGGTACAGAAACAGTGAGATTGGTTACTACTCGGTGTTTGCCTTATTTGAATGCAGTTTGCACATTCTGCAGTCTATGAGTGGTTCAAGTATGGCTGCTGGGATTGGCCAACACTCAGCTATTGTTACAGGTGCATGCTACCAAGTTAGGTTTTAAATTTTGTCTATTAAGCTAGGTTACAGTTCATCAACAAGGACTCAAACATAGAAGGACAGAGTCCTTCTCAGGCCATAGTTTACTTTAACACTTCCAATGCAAAAAGAAGGCAATGACATTCTGAAAGATGACCAAAGAACCCAGTCTTATTCTTTTCTTCTTTCATAATTTCCTGTAGCAGCCAGCCATTAACTCCAAAAGTGATGATGTAATGTATTAGTCCTTTCTCATGCTGCTATGAAGAAATACCCAAGACTGGGTAGTTTACAAAGGAAAGAGGTTTGACTCACAGGTTCGCATGGTTGGTGAGGCTTCAGGAAACTTACAATCAGGGCGGAAGGCACCTCATCACAGGGCAGCAAGAGAGAGTGAGTGCCAAGTGAAGGGATAGGCCCCTTACAAAACCATCAGATCTCATGAGAACTCACTATCAGAAAGCATGGTGGAAACTGCCCCTGCAATTCAACTATCTCCACCTGGTCCTGTTCTTGATGCATGGGGATTATTACAAACAAGGTGAGATTTGAGTGGGCACACAGAGCCAGACCATGTCAGTAAAAGGAAAGGAAAGATGGGACAGAGTTGTATCCTTTCTTTTCAGTTCTTCCTGACATAATCTGTAAGCCAAAGGTAGGAAATGTTAGTAGCATATGTGTGTATGAAATAAAAACAGTTGAGTTAGTTTTGTGCAATGTTTCTACTGTTAAGAATAAATACATAAGGATGTATGAACTATGAAATAAGTTGTATAATTTTTATAATCCTATGTAAGAGTTAAATACTCTTCTATTGATACTTAAAACCAGCATTGTACACTATAAAGACGAATGGAAAAAGTCATGGAAATAAGCTAAAACTTTAACTTTTCTTTATGGAGAATGACATTAAATAGCAAAAAAAACAAAACAAACAAAAAAACAAAAAAACAAACACCATGACATGAGACAGCTTAATGGAAGGGGAAAAGCTTTCTATTTTTGTACCTTTCATACCATTTTTATCCTCCTTTTCTTACAAGATCCCTCACATCTTCATTTTGTGCCGGGTGGTGCAAATCAGGTAGCTGGTCTTTGTGGGGGTGCTATTTTAGATTGGGTGATCAGGAGAGGCCTCTGAGAAAACAGCATTTAAACTGATAACCTAGAAATTAAAAAAAAAAAAAAAAACAACCATGGGAAGGTCTGGGGAAAGAACATTCCAGGGAGAGGGTATAGCTAGTGCAAAGACCCTAAGGCAGGAAAGAACTTCATGAGTTCCAGAAATAGAAAGAAGACCAGTCTTACCAAAAAGTAGTTGTTAAGGTATAGAGCGGCAAAATGTGAGGTCAGAGTTGGGGGCAGGGACAGGGTATGAAGGTCTTAAAAAGTCTAGAATAATTTATTCTATTTGGGTTAGCAGCCATTGGAAGGTTTCAGGCAGAGAAATGACATAAATGACTTACGTTTTAAAGGACATTATTCTGGCCAGGCATGGTGGGTCACACCTGTAATCACAGTACTTTGAGAGGCCAAGGCAGGCGGATCACCTGAGGTCAGGAGTTCGAGATCAGCCTGGCCAACATGGCAAAACCCCGTCTCTAGTAAAAATACAAAAATTAGTCAGGCATGGTGATACGTGCCTATAATCTCAGCTATTCGGGAGGCTGAGGCAGGAGAATCATTTGAACCCAGGAGGCGGAGGTTGCAGTGAGCCAAGATCACCCCACTGTACTTCAGCCTGGGCAACAGTGAGACGCTGTCTCAAAAAAAAAAAAAAAAAAAAGACATTATTCCTGCAATGTGAAGGCAAGAGTGGACTCAAGGAGACCATCCCGGGCAGTTTATATCTGAAGAATTCCTTACCCTTCCAGGTAAAATTCATCATATTTCTCTTGTAATTTCTGTTATTCCACTTACGTATTTTCAAATATATCTTCCTGTGCTAGACAGTAAACTCCTTGTAAGTACTGACATTGTCTTATTCTTCTCTAAATCACTGTTGTCCCTCACTTTGTTTGCATATAATCACTTAAAATATTTATTGAGTCAATGATTGGAATAGGACTTAAACCACTCTTGCAGTAAAAGCTCTGCCCTTGGAACTTTTTTGAAATTAAGATTATTTAGAGGAGTCAAAAGGAAAGGTGTTATAGTAGCTATACATGAATTTGAACTAAATACAAAATAGTATGTTAATTTTACAACTTTAGAAATTTGGGGAAAAATTACTGACTAGGTCATTAATGAGAATTTGAAATTCTACACTGCCTCTTCCTGAAACTGTGTGCAATATGAACCCAAAGCCACAGCTATTATTGGTGCTAATATTTTGTCCAGAAGTTCCAGCCTGGTGTCTTGGGACTATAGTTGGCCTGAGACATATTTTGACTGGTTTGCAGCATATGTAAATATTGTGCTGAATTAGTTGTTGGTGTTTAAAACTAAGGAGTTTTTGCATAAAGATCTGTTTTTCTCTTTTTCTTGAGAAGCAACAGACATACAAGAAACAAAAATCTTGGCTGCATTGGATTTGCATTTCATCAAGGCAATATTCAGCCAGACTTGAGGATGGCCACCGCCTTTGGAAGGGGCCTGTGATAGTCCTCACCTTTATTATAGTAGTCACCTTGCTCCGCTCCTCTGAGCTACCTGCCTGGCTCCTGTAGGCATTTGTGTTTGTGACTTCCCTTACTGAGACATATATGTACCCTATTGTTATTTTAAATGAGAACTTTTTTTTTGGCCAGGTGAGGCAGCTCATGCCTGTAATCTCAGCACTTTGGGAGGCTGAGGTGGGCGGATCACTTGAGGTCAGGAATTTGAGACCAGCCTGGTAAACATGGTGAAATCACATCTCTACTAAAAATACAAAAATTACCTGGATGTGTTGGCACACTCCTGAAATCCCAGCTACTCTGGAGACTGAGGCACGAGAATCACTTGAACCCCAGAGAAAGATGTTGCAGTGAGCTGAGACCACACCATTGCATTCCAGCCAGGGTGACAGAGCGAGACTCTGTCTCAAAAAATAAAATAGGTTGGGAGCAGCGGCACATGCCTGTAATCCCAACACTTTAGTAGACCAAGGCGGGTGGATCACAAGGTCAGGAGTTCGAGACCAGCCTGGCCAATATGGTGAAACCCTGTCTCTACTAAAAATACAAAAATTAGTTGGGCATGGTGGTGCAGGCCTGTAGTCCCATCTACTCAGGAGCTGAGGCAGAAGAATTGCTTGAACCCGGGAGGCAGAGGTTGCAGTGAGCCGAGATCACACCACTGCACTCCAGCCTGGCGACAGAGCAAGACTTTGTCTCAAAATAAAATAAAAAGAACTTTTTTTTTTTTTTTAAAGAGGGTCTTGAATTATACAAATTTCTCTTTAGTTTTCTTGCTAAATGTGCTGGGCCATTTTTGCTTTCCTTGCAGCTTTCATCAACAAAAGCAGCAAGGTGGCCAGTCCAGATCCACCCAGATATGGGCTTGCCAGGGCAGGGTGAAATGCAGCTCCGATTTGTTAATGGATGAATTTTGAGGCTGAAGGCCCTCCAAAGAGTAACCAGAGGAGAGCTTTCCTACCAATTTGATCTATAGAAGGATACTCAGCATCTCTGCCCTCTTTACCTCCCAGTTACATGTCTGTTAAGATTTAGGGGTAGTGAGATTAAGGGACAGAATAAATTTAAAACTACCTATCATTATATACCCCATCTGCCTTCCCATGTGTTTAAATCATCAAACACTTCTTGTTTTTCCCAAAGTGTTGCAGCCTTCTCTGAGCCACGCTGCTGTATCACTGCTGAACAAGATGATTAGGTGTGTGATTGTAGATTGTAGGCATTTGAGGTAGTGCCTTTATTTGGATAGTGCCATTTAATCTATGATACTATTTTGTATGAAGCCACATGTTTGTTTCTAGAGATGTATGGAGCAGTCCACAAAAGATACTCTGTGGCAAAGCTAATAAAGGCTGTTTCCACAGAGCTATCTGAAGGCATGTAGAAGCACAATAGTGACAAACAGAAACCACAATGGGTCAATGTTGAGAGAATCCTGGGATTGGGAGGTGCTTTTTAAAGGCCAGAAGGGAAAGAAAATCAGTTTGGAAGGATTTACTACACAGCAGGTCTTGGTGGATATATTCAGTTCTGGGAACACTTGGCAGTACCAGGGTGCAGTTCATTTACCAGTGTACAAATGATTGAACAGAAACGCATTCAGGAGTCTCGAGTAAATCATTTCCGTATCTCACCCGAGCTGGTAAACTGGCGATGGACTGTACAACAGCCCAGCTGTCCAGAGACAGGGGACAAACCCGGGAGTCCGTTTAGCATGAATGATCGACTCCAGGGAGGGAGGAGGGAGAGCGTTCAGCTGGGGGCTAGGGAAGGGGGTCAAAGTCCAAGCTGCAGACAGGACAATAAGGCTATGCGTGGGACACAAAGCCGAACCGGAGCAGCAGCTGGCTGGCTCCCGGCGCGCCGCTGAATCAAGCTTCGATTTTAGAAGGGACCTGGCAGCAGCGCCTGCACAGGCTGCTTCCTTCTCCTGGAAGAGCCTGGAAGGGCGCACAGGCTGGTCGCCCTCGGGCGAGGGCAACCGGCCGCAGGCATCCTTCCCCCTCTCCTCCCTGCCCAGTAGCGCCAGGCAGTGTCCCGCCGAGGGCAGGGCGGGGCGCAGGCTGGGGGAGGGCGAGGTAGGGCCCAGCCGCGCGGCCGCGGCTGACGCAGTGCGGGGCGAGGAGCCGGGAGAGCCCCGGCGGGCGTGGAGTCCCCAGTCCGGCCGCTGGGAGGCCGCGTCCCCAGCGGAGGGGGCAGGGCGCACTCACCCGGCCGCCCCGAGGCCGCCGGCGGCCTGTTGGCTTCTCCACCGGCGCGGTCACCGTTCAAGCGCGCTCCGTCCCCGCCCCAGATCCTGGGGGGTGAGCGGGGGAGAAGGGGCGGGCACCCGCGAGCAGTGAATCACCTCCTCCTCTTGCTGCCTCACCGCCGCCGCCACCTTTCCATTCAGTCGCCCAACATGGCTGGAGCGCGGCGGAGGTGAGCCGGCCGCCCGCAGACGCCCCAGCCTACTGTGCCCGAGTCCCGCGGCCCCGGCGGCGCCTCAGCTCTGCGGTGCGGAGGCCCAACGGCCCTGTCGCCGCCCGCCGCCAGCATGTTGGGCGCCCCGGATGAGAGCTCCGTGCGGGTGGCTGTCAGGTGAGGACGGGCTGCCGGCGGCGGGCGGCGGGCGGCGGGTTGAGGGCGCGGCAAGGACCTGGCTGTGGCCCGGGGCACCGGCTGCCGGGGTGGAGCGACCTGAGGGGCGTCCCGGCCGGGGTCTGCGGCTGAGGAAACTGAGGCAATGGGTCCCCGCCGGCCTGGCACGCGCGGCCGGGTGCTGGCAGGGAGACTGCGCCGCCCTCACCCCGTCTGTGTTTGCAGGTGGCTGGCGGCTGCTCGGCCCCGGGTCCCTGGGGGGCGTCTTGACTTCTCCGGGGGAAAAGCCCTCGTCACTCCCCTCCGTCCCCTCGCCGGATCAGTCGCCGCAGGTCTGGCCGCCTTGGACTATCGCCTGTCCGGGAGGAGCTGCCTCTGCGCGGGGCTGTGGTGTTCTTTTTTATTAGTTCTAGAATGTCTGTCATACGTGTCCATGCAGCTCCGGCCTTCCCAGGCAGGAGACAAAGCATCTGACTGTCAGCGCCGGCGACCACAGGGCCCGCCGCGCGCCCACTCGGGTTCTGATGTCTGTGCAAATGGGACATCTTTTTCAGCATCACGGGAATCTAGATATGCCCTCGCGTGTGGGTAGAAGAGACAGATCTGGCCTCTTGGGTGTTTGAATGGAAGTGGAATTTAAGGTAAAATCCACCGGGGAGAGGTCTACAGAAGGAAGAAAACTCTTTAGCCAGAGAAGGGTGAAAGGGGTGACTGTGTGAAACATACTGACGTTAGGCAGGGTGGATGCAATGTAATCGTAACGTTATACAGGCCAGGGTGTGAGTGGAAATACTAGGTACATCAAAATTATATTTCTGCCAATGACAGGCACGAGTATTCGATGTAATTTAGGCTGGTTTGATACTTATCAAGAAGGAAAGCTCTGATAGTTGCTCATGGAAAATTGCAACATCATCACACTGTGTGAAAAATTAATGAAGCATTCATTCTAGAGTAAGTGCGTGACTTTCACAGCTCTGAGAGTCTACTGTTAATTCGCTTCCTTTATTTATGCTTTAAGGATTATAAAAATAATCTACACTCCAAGAAATTAGAAATTATTAACAATCTCCCAGTCTTGTAGTCTTTCCAGAAAATTATTTTAAAAATTCTCCCCTCTAAGCATTTCTATAGTTACTATTTTAGTGACACATCTTGGGTTGGGAATAGTAATGGCTGTTTTGTATACTTTGTATCTTTACTTAAAGAATAAAATGAGTTTTTAAGTTTTTTTTTTTTTTCCACCCAGGGAGGTGACAGTTTTATGACTGGTTAGAATCACCTGTTAGAAGGCTTTTGAAGTTTTAATTAGGCCTTCGTTATTCTAGGGTTACTTATCCAATTGTTAGATTAGTCTGTTTCTCCTATTCACTGCTACTACCTCTCTTTTAGCCCTTTAATACCAGTTAATGACTGCACCGGGGTGGAGAAAGGGGAAGGAAAAAGACAAAAAACCCAATAAGGGGCAATTTTGTTAGGAGAGCTGATCGAGGAAGGTGAAGAAGGTGCATACAGTATTAGTGAAAACAATTTGTTTTTAGAAATTTGAGATTTTTATGTGTGAATTCTCTGGACTATCACAAGGCAGTTTGTTGACCATTCTGTTAAATCCGATGCTTCTTTGCCTGTAGAGACATGGATGACCCTAAACTGATGCTGACTGATAAATAACTTGTATTTTGTTTTGATGTGCATGTTAGGACTTTTTAGGTGAATGACTGTCGGTTTGATTTTTGGAGAAAGGCTTTATAAAAACTTCAACATAACTTAGTAAGCCACATTGCAAAGATTCCATTTGTTGAATTCAGGACTCCTTCTTCCTTTCCTTTCCTTTCCTTTCTTTTCCTTTCCTTCCCTTCCCTTCCCTTCCCTTCCCTTCCCTTCCCTTCCCTTCCCTTCCCCTTCTTCCCCCTTCCCTTGCCCCTTCCCTTTCCCCTTCCCTTCCCCCTTCCCTTCCCCCTTCCCTTTCTCCTTCCCCTTTCCTTTCCCCTTTCCTTTCCCCTTTTCTTTCCTTTCCTCTTTCTTTTTTTGAGACAGGGTTTTGCTGTATCACGCAGGCTAGAGTGTCGTGGCGCCATCATAACTCACTGCAACCTCAACCTCTTGGGCTCAAGCAATCCTCTCATCTCAGCCTACTGAGTAGCTGGGATTACAGGCATGTGCCACTTTGCTTGGCTAATTTTTATACATTTTTGTAGATATGGGGCCTCCCTATGTTGCCCAGGATGGTCTTGAACTCCTGGGCTCAAGCCGTCCCTCCCAAATTGCTGGGATTACAGGCATTAGCCACTGCACCTGGCTAAATCGGGGATTTCTTTCATTAAATACATTGTTCTCTGAACAGAGCTACCCTGTAAACTTACTTTATATAGGATGAAAATAGCTTATGCTCATATAGCACTTTAGTATTTATAAAGTATTTGGACTTATATTGTTCATTTATAACCATTATTTATTGAAGATATATCCTCATCTCTGTTATCCTGATTTCTGGGCTAAAAGTACTGATAATAGTTTGACTTAAACTGTGTGCCAGGATTAGTGCTGTGTTAAGATGTTTTATCTCATGTAAAGTCTTATTTATTCCTCATAACAATCTGTGACTTAGGTCCTGTTATTATGGCCATTTACAGATGACGCACAGAAAGATTAAGTAAACCATCCAAAGTTAAATCGGTAGCAAATGAGAGAGCCAGGGTTCCAACCCAGATAGCTTGACTCAATAGACCAAGTTCTTAACCACTAACCCTGCAGAGGTGAGAGGCAAGAACATGGCTTTGCAAAGTTTCGCTTAGGTTTGGGTCAGTTGCCTGTTCTTGATTTGGTGTTAGTTCAGTTACTGAATGACTTTCACAGGTTATTCATATTTTGATATTGCCAGGAAAGATACAGCTAAGACAGGACCTGAACTTAACTAAAATATTTCCTCAAATTATTTAATCTTTCCAGCATCCTGTTACCCTACCCTTCAGTTTGTGACAGCTTTCCTCAGCAGAATAAATAAATCAATACAAAATTGTATGTCTATATACAAAATCAACAAAAACATTTGACCTGCTTTTTTCCTTTAAGGAATAATACAATCGTGGAAATGCATCCTAGAGGTGCTTATGTTTTATTAGAGGCTTATCAGTATGTTAAAGCTGATGACTCTATTGTGGGTTTCTCAAGATAAGTGAATGGGTTATATACAGCTTTGGGAGAAAGATGTTAAACAGAAAGTTTCTCATTTAGGGAGAGCAATTTTTACTCAGTTTCCAAAAATACCTTTTGGCAGTATATTTGAGATGTTCTGTGGGGTTTCTTTCATTGAGATAGATATGGATTTGGATAATAGCCCTTGCTATCCAACCCCATGTGGCTATTAAGTGCTTGAATTATGATTAATGCTACTGAGAAACTAAATTTTTAATTTTATTTAATTTAAATGAGTTAAAATTTAAATTTAAAAATTGGTCCTTCATCCAGTTATTAGAAACTTTTGAGTATGTTTCGAACAACGTGGATCTACTTTTTCAACAGTAAAGTTTTGAAATAGAAATAGTGATACAAGTATTTCTGATGAAAATTTAGTGTACATATTGACTAGAACTGTAAGTGTAATAGATATACATTGGCTTTCAAAGACTTACTCTGAAGAAACGAATGTAAATATTTCAATTTTTATATTGACTATATGTTGAAATGATAACACTTTGCTTACATTTAGTTAAATAAAATATAATTAAAATTAATTTTCATATTATCTGTGTCTATTGGATACCACTGTACTATAACTTAAAAATGTGAGGAATACATTTAGAATAAAACTTTTCACAGACATCCCATCATGGACTAATCACATCCTTAGATTAAGAAAATACCAAAATATTGGGTGTCTGGTTTTAGAGTGGATATGCACGTACGCACAGAAGTATATGTATATATATATATATGTGAGATGTAAGATGTGATTCAACAGCAACACTTCTTTTCCTCAGAGTGCATGGGTGTAGGAAGGTATGGATTTTAGACTCAATAATCAGGTAGCTGGTTTCCTAGGAAATGTGGTAAGTTGAATGGATGGCTTAGATAGATGTCGCCAACAAAAATGAACAATAAAGTACAATGTAGAATCTATTCTTATTATCTAAGTATACTGAATTGAATCGAATGGTTAACTCAAAATGATAAAGTCAAACATTTCACATTCTAAATCTAATACATTATGAGATGATGTGTCTTTTTCTCTTCCCTATCTCTGACACAATAACTTTGAAATGTTTTTCCTTTTCTTTTTTTTTTTTTTTTTTGAGACGGAGTCTGGCTCTGTCGTCCAGGCTGGAGTGCAGTGGCCGGATCTCAGCTCACTGCAAGCTCCGCCTCCCGGGTTTACGCCATTCTCCTGCCTCAGCCTCCCGAGTAGCTGGGACTACAGGCGCCCGCCACCTCGCCCGGCTATTTTTTTTTTTTGTATTTTTTAGTAGAGACGGGGTTTCACCGTGTTAGCCAGGATGGTCTCGATCTCCTGACCTCATGATCCGCCCGTCTCGGCCTCCCAAAGTGCTGGGATTACAGGCCTGAGCCACCGCGCCCGGCCTTTGTTTTTCCTTTTCAATAACTTTAGCTTGCAATATATGTCAAGAGTTTAGTGAAAATGGGAGATACAGAAAGCACCTTTGTGTTTTTGTGTTATTCGCTGTATGTAGAAACTAAAATTTCCTTGCCTGGCTTTATCAGAGAACTGTACCTACTCTTTGCAGTGAGTTTGTATTAGTGTGTAATGTGGTCTAATTTGTGTTTTGGTTTGCTGGGTTTTCCCTTTACCAAAGCACTCTAAGGAGTGGCGTTGCTCAGCAGGCTTAGGGGCTATTTGGACATTCAGAAGCTCAGTTTTAGGTCTGTCACTAGCACTTATTTGCAATGTGACCTCACTATACTTTTCTTTTTCCCAATGCTTGTTTGTCAACCTAAAGATATCAAGAGTTGTAAGAACTTTTCATGTGCAGTCTGTTAAATAT